GTTATGACACGATGATAATTGAACCTTATTGCTCATTTAATATTCATGCTTTTTAAATACATGAGTTTTTGGTTCTTATTTGGATATGATAGCTTATAAAATATTACTATGATCACTTATGCATGTATGGAATGAATCTTTCATATACTTGAAGTATGTGTGCTTTATGAAAGTTGTTGAATAAAATTACTAACAATTGGTATCAAAATTGCTAAAGAGTTTTTTTTAAACTTTTATAGACACTTGTTTATGTGCCTATCTTTGATATAGCTTATACCTTTCATGCAAAATTATGTGTGCCTTAAATTGATTAATTCTTATTTTGAAAAGGAGGAGAAATCTTATAATATAATTTTGCTTGATTTATTTTGTGATAATAATTGGTATGCTTTGTGATAACATATCTTTAACAATTGGTATGAGCTTATATGCATATACTTGAATTTATGCCTAATAGTTATTGATGTTTTAGGTTCTAAGAACATCTTATTTTAACATGATTTATGAGTAGATTGCATATCATTCATTATCCTTTGCTCATAACTTTCATGTAGTAAATTTGATGACTTGTGCTAAAATGATAAAATTGGATACACTTATACTTTTGTGCTTGAATACATGTATGTGAACTTCATTGTGCATATTACACTTGATTACATGCATTCAAAATACTTTTGATTTTATTGGTATTAAGCATTTTGTCTTATGTCTTAAATTGATCTCTCTTTCTTTTAAAATGACAAAGAGAGAGAGAGAGTTTAGAGATATTTCTTCTTGTATGCTTATAGAAATTAATATAAGAGCTTAAACAATTGGTATAAAGAGCATAAACAAAAGGAAAAAAATGTTTTATGAATATATTTGTTAATGATACTTCTTTGTGTTTATTTACTCATTAATATGCTCATGCCTTTTTGCTATGATAAAAATGGAGAGAAATATCATATGGACAAATTTGCTTATGCTTGATATGCATATATTTGATTGTGCTTATTTGACATATTTGACTAACATATGTTTATTAAGTTTGTTGGATTATGATGCATAAATTAAGGGAGATTTTGCCATGCATTGTTTAAGGGGGAGTTTTTCAAAATGTCTTTCAAAATCTTAAATGTTTCAAAGAAAAATTTTCATCAAGCAAATTTATCTTTAAGTTTTATCATATAAAAAAGGGAGAGATTGTTAGCCTTGAATTGATCCTTATTTTGCAATAACAAAACATTAAGCTAAATAAGCTTGATCAAAATTTTGAAAAAGATTTATTTAGTATATATTCTTAAGTTTTATATTTTGACACTAAATAAATAATATGTTTTTCAAAGTGTAAACAAACCTTTCTTTGTTTTCATATTTCTCAAACCAAATCTATTTTTTAAAGAATATTTATTTGAGCTTAAATGAAAGTCCAATTGTTGTTTTTAAAGTGAACTCATTCATTTTGGACTTAATACAATTTTGATAATATTAGTTTTGAGAAATAGATTAATTTAAGTTGTTTTACAATAACAAAGTTTTCCAACATTGAATTTGTTTTATTTTTTTGTATTAATTCACAAAGTTTTAATATTTAAATTTTATATGGTTGGAAAGCACTTTGAGTCTACTTTCTAATGGATTAAACAAAAATCAAAATTCAAATTTTCTAAGAAAAGATTTTAAATTTTAACTAGACACTCTACAGTTATCTAAAAACTGCACAAGAGGTAGATTTAAAATTCACTATAATTTGTACACAATAAATTAGGTAATTAATTTTATATGGATAGAAAAACCCTTTAAGTCTAGTTTCTAAATCTTGAAACGGTTTTGTGATTTGAATTTGTATAACTCAAGATATGATCAAATTAGTAAGTAAAGTGCAAAATAGGATACAACAGAATAACTTGACTGGATCGATCCCCTAGGTTACAAGTTCGATCCTCTAGCTGAACCAATCAATCAGGTCCCTTACTTGATCGATTGGGTCATGTTTTTTAAATGAAAAATGGTACAAAACTTGAACCAATCGATCCCCTCATGGAAGGGATCGATCTTGTCATGCCCAAAATGTATCCAATGGCTAGTTTCTTAAGCATTCAACGGTTATTATCTTCTTTCAAGCATCTCCAATGGCTAGCTCTTCATTTTCTCTATATATTGGCTATTCCAACACACCAAGAAGGTTAATGAAGCAAGAAAGCAAGTGCTAACAAGTTATATTTTTATTTTCTCTTAGAATCAAGAGTTTTTAGAGCTTAAGTTCAACATCCTTTGTATTTCTTGTATCCAAAATATTGTTGTTCTTCATTCATCACATTTTCTTATACTTTATTAGGCAAACAATTAGCTTTTGAGAGGTGTTTTAAGTTTATATTGTTATTAAGTGATTTTGTAATTAAGAGATGAGGTACTTTCTTGAATTTGTGTAATTGAGAGATTACTACTTAACCTAGAAAGTAAATAGTATAAGGTTTCTATCTTAAGCCTTTGTGAGAAAAAGATAGGGTTATAATTTCAATTCAAGTATAGTGGATTGAATCCTTGGTGTGAACAATCAAGAAAGAGGACGTAGGTGCCTTGTGGAGAAGGATCGAACCTCTATAAATTCTTGTGTTTGATTTCTTTATCCCTATCTCTTTTTTTATTATAGTTCATATTTACTTATAGTTCATCAATTCATTATCGTTTGTATCATATTTTGATATTGGTTTTAATTTTCATCCAATTATATTGAAATCATTTATTTAGAAAGAATTTGAAGAAATCTAATTCACTCATTCTTGGATCACCATCTCATCTATAAAGCTAACAATTACTAAATTACTATTATACATTTATTCATCATTTATATTATCATGACCCACTAGACATCTATCCAATTTTGTAAAATATCCATTTTACCCCTTAACCCTAAGTCTCTTTCATCTCTAAAACTATCCAGTCTTTTCTTAACCTTTACTATCACGGAGTTATGTTTTTTCTTTTATTCCACCTTTTTCTTTTTTTTTTTTGTTTTCATCCATTTTCAAAAAATTTCTCCTTTTTAAAAAACAATTGTCACCACTGTTGACAACAAAAAGGAATTTAAAAATAAAAAATAAAAAAAATCTTATCATAAAAAGCAATAACTCTCTCTATAAAAAAAAACTTCAATCAATCCAAAGATATAAGTCATGTAACCACACTAACAACAAAAAATCCATTTGAAAGATTATTTAAAAATAAAAATGAAGGAATTTCTTAGGGTTTTGTTTTTAGAGGTAAGATTGAAAAAAAAAGAAAAAAAAAAGGAAAGAAAGGGACCATCCAAGAGAAATAAAGAAGACACCAACAATAACACTACCACCAATGAAACTAGTAATGTGAGGACAGAGGGTGTGAGAGGTGCTTAAAGATTGAAGACAAATTTTGGGATAGAAAAAGAAAAAACAAAGAAGAGTTGTTATTAAGTTTAAATTTACTTGGAAAATGAGTTTTTACGGTAGAAAAAAAAACAAAAAGTAAAAAAAAAAATGATCGGGCAATTTTCAACTTGACCCAATCTGGGTATCATCCAACCAATTAGATAAGCAAGTTCAAGATTAAGCTTAAACTAAATAAAAAAATAATCTTGAAAATTTTTCTTTGATATCTATCTAGTTATATATTCAATATATACTTAATATAAATATTTGCAAAATATCTATTTTTTATTTTTTTAAAATATTCTTTTATGAGTTTATTGATCAATACAATTTTATAAATATTCAAATGCACAAATATTTCAATTTTTAAATGAAAGAACAAAATAATATAATAATTAAGTTTGTAATTGTGGAATATTTAGTTATAATGATAAAATAAATAAAAAATAATTATTAAAAATAGAAATTAAACTAATATTTAATAAATTATTAGAAATACATTTATTTATAAAATATATTTTAATTATTTAATTTACATATATTAAAATAAAAAATAAATATTAATAAATATAAAAAAAAGATCAAAAAGTACTGGATGCATTCTATTAATTTGATAAATAAATCAAGCTTTAATTAGATTTGATAATTTAAAATATATTATAATGATATGACACTAATATAAATACAATGCAAAAAAAGATACAAAATTAATATGATTTAATAGTTTAATAATAATTATATATAAATTTAATAAAATAAAAAATATTTTATATTTTTATATTAATATAAATTATAATATATAATTTAAATAATATAAATACATAAATCATTAGACCTAACTTAAAAAAACCATACAACAGTTGACAAAAAAAATAGAATTTAATGTGAAACGACGACTTTAAAAAAACAGTTGGAAAACAATGGGATAATCATTTATTTTAATGATAAGAAAATAAAAATGTGGAAAACGACCCAATACGCGGAAGTTTTATACTTTCCAACGACTTTACTTGAATTAGGTAGCCCAACCCAGCTGCACATAACAAATTAGTACAATCCGTCCAAGTGGCATAACATCCTTACCATTAGCTTTTAGCTGCTTGTATTTCTCCTTCCTTTTTAACTTTTACTGTTAATTTATTATGCACAAATTATTAATTAATAAATTCATAAAAAATTAACTCAGTTCGATAAGAAAAAATTTTTCTTTTTTTTAATTCAAGTTCAATTTTATGGGAACAAAATCTTAAATATATCAAATTAATGGAAAAAATTAATTGATACAAAGCCAGAAAATAGCTTGTTATCTATTACCAAAAAAATTAATTAGCAAAACCATAGATTTTTTTTCTTTTTTTTTTTTTGCTTCAATTGGCCTTCTTGTTCCTTTTTGTTGTCTAAAATAATTAATTTTAAAGCTCTTTTTGACCAGAATTAATTTTAAAATTTAAAAATAAATAAATAAAGAAAGGAAAAGACACTGATTTTTCCAAGCGAGAAAGGTGAAGAAAGGGGTTGGTGATTTAAGTCAACACTCAATAACAGAGATCTTACTCTTTTTTTTTTTTTTTTTTTCAATAATTAAATAATAAATATTCAACAACAAAGAAAAGTACGTTGTTTCATTGTAAAGAATCAGCCACAAGAAAATGAGGCTTTGACTTTACCAAATGCAAACACCATCAGAAACGGGTGTCTGTCAGTGTTAGAGTCCATACGTTTTGATCCTCCTTCCTTACCGAACCTGTTCGCTCGCATGTAATACCCTTTTCTAGCTCTCTCTCTCTCTCTCTCTTTCTCTCTGTTTTGTTTTAATCGGAATCTTGGGTGAGAGAGAGTTCCAGGAGAAAAGGAAAATGGAAAAGCAGAAGGCAAAGGAGAGTAAAGAAGAAGAAGAAGAAGAAATGGAATTCAAGGACTGTGAAGACGAAGAAGAAAAAGAAGACAAGATAGAGATAAGCGATGAGATAGAGCGAAGCAAAGTTGGCATTATGAGAGCTCTTGTCGAGAGAGAAGATCCATCTGCCAAGGTGCTTTTTCTTTTTTTGGCATTTGTAGTTGCCATGGAGCAATTTTAAAGTTCCCAGCTTTGACTTTGGTTTTTCTTAGTCTTCCTTTTTTGGAATCATGTTAATTATACATAAATATCAAATAAAATACTTTTAACTATGTTAAAAATAAATCTCTTCTTTTGCTTACAAAATATCTTCTGTTTTACTACCCATGTAGTGATTTTGCTTCTTTTCTGTTTAAAGGATGTTGATGATTTAATGATCCGGAGATTCCTGCGAGCTCGTGATTTAGATATAGAGAAAGCATCTACCATGTTCCTCAAGTACCTAAGCTGGAAGAGAACATTTGTACCAAAGGGGTTCATATCTGAATCCGAGATTTCCACTCAGCTGGCTCATAATAAGCTCTGTATGCAAGGTCTTGATAAACAGGGGCGCCCTATTGTTGTTGCCTTTGGGGGTAGACACAAACCCACCAAAGGAAATCTGGAGGAGTTCAAACGTATGTTTATGGATTTCATAACACGTTCTATTTCTGTTTCTTGCCATTTTATCTTGAAAAGAATTGAACAAAGAATTGCATATTTGGTTACTGAAATGGCTTTTTTTTTTTTTTGCAGGCTTTGTTGTCTATGGTTTAGAGAAAATATGTGCCAGGTAAATAACTTGACTGCCCATCAAGAAACTTAGTAGCGAAATTTACAGTACTGAAATATCATAGCTTTGGAGAAGAATGTATTGGTATGTTTGGACTTTTGATTGAGTGGACCTGAGCTGAATTATTACAATTTTCCTGTCAAAATGCTTGTTTGTGATTAGCCAGCACCTCTTATCTCCCGTAGATAACCTTTGCAAATGGAACTTTTCTTTTTCTTCATTTCTAGGAGAGAAGGGTTCAGAATTATCTTTGCATATTGATTTTTATTGCTTTGAATCAAGGTATATGGTTAAGTTCATTATATGCCACCATTCCCAAACAAGCACCTTGATGTAGACAATAAATTTGAATCTTTGCCAAAAAGCAATGGATAATCTCCATCCTTTTCATATTTTTTATTTATCTCAAAAAAAAAAATCATGCTTGGATTCTTTTTCATTGGTGTTTCAGAATGCCAAAAGGACAGGAAAAGTTTGTGGGAATTGGAGATCTTGAAGGATGGGGATACTCTAATAGTGACATTCGTGCTTATGTAGCTTCTCTATCAATCTTGCAGGTTTGATCTTTAACCATCTAGCATCATCGGAGATCAAATTATTGATTTTACAAGATTACATAAACTATCAATTGCATTATAAATGCATTTAGACAGGCATAAGAATATGTTACATCAGATGACTTATATAGGAATATGTTGCTCCAGGAAGACTTATAGCAGTAATTCAACTGTTTTGGTTACAGGATTGCTATCCAGAGAGGCTGGCCAAGTTATTTATTGTTAATGTGCCTTACATATTCATGACTGTCTGGAAGGTTGTTTACCCATTCATCGACAGCAGAACCAAGAAGAAGGTAAACCATGCAATGCCTTTCCATTTAAAAAAAAAAAAATGCTTATTCCTGCATGTTGATTATACCTTGGATCAAGGACCCATGGAAAACCAGCTATGTTGCTTGGGCTCCTGCATGAATGTAGGACATAAATACATGTTAAACATGGTTGCTTTCATTTTTCTTTTTAAGAGGTTTCTTTTTATTTGGAGGTTTATACCTGTTGGGCTAAAAGCCTTCAATCCAATCACACCAGCGGAAGCAAAATCAAACAATAAATCAAACACACAAGAGACAACAATTTAACGTGTTTCGGTCCAATCAACCTACGTCCATGGATGAGAAACAAGATTCACTAGTTGTAGAGAATTACAAATATATATCAAATCATCAACCTCACTCAACAATCAATACTCATAAGACACTCTTAATCTCCTCTAGTTCTATTGAATATTTTCAATCCAAACAAACACAAACCCAAACTCTTGTGTATTCTTTCAACATAACTAAACACATACCCATATGCTCCCATACATCATACCTATGTGGACCCTCTCACTCTCCTCTAGTCTACTCACAAACAAACATACACACCCATCACATGTAGAGCCCTAATACTCTTATGGGGTGTCTATCTCACAAAACCTTACAACTCTCTTACATATTTTTCTCATACCTAACCTTATAGAGATTTCACTTATTATAATCATACAAACTTGCCCATTAAGAATCCCTCTCGTTTTAGAATTTTTCTCTATAAGTCAAACTTGCCTATTAAGAATTTCTTTTCTTTTAAAATTCTTCTCTTGCAAGTCAGACTTACCTATTAAAAATTTTCATTCTCTTAGAATTATGCTTTTGCAAGTCTTCTTGTCCATCCAACAATATTTAACAAATCTTTAACAAATCTCAAATAAATCTCTTATGGGATTTGAGTCAATATTCCCAACAATCTTCACTTTAACACAAATTTCATCAAATCATCTGTCTTCATGCTAGACATGCTTAAGACATGCTTGGCTCCACTTGTAACAAAAATCTCACAATCATCTTCTCTTGTGTGTCTTCATGCTTCATACAAACTAATCTTCAATCCTCAAAACTTGAACTCGAACTCTTCTCTTGAATTGAGCTCCTTTAAGCTTGTCTCTTCCCATGTCTCAAACCATGTTCTTCTCACATCTCGAACCTTCAGCTCTTCCCACGTTTCGAACCTTCAGCTCTGATATCACTTGTTGCGGAACACCACAGCTCTGACATTATTTGTTGAGCTAAAAGCCTCCAATCCAATCACACCAGCGAAAGCAAAATCAAACAATAAATCAAACACACAAGAGACAACAATTTAATGTGACTCGGTCCAATCAACCTACGTCCACCGATGAGAAACAAGATCCACTAGTTGTAGAGAATTACAAACATATATCAAATCATCAACCTCACTCAACAATCAATACTCATAAGACATTCTCAATCTTTTCTAGTCCTACTGAGTATTCTCAATCCAAACAAACACAAACTCAAACTCTTGTGCACTCTTTCAACATAACCAAACACATATCCATATGCTCTCATACATCATACTTATGTGGACTCTGTCAGTCTCTTCTATTTCACTCACAAACAAACATACACACCCATAAGACGTAGAGCCTCAATACTCCTGTGGGATGTCTATCCCATAATTTTTTTACATCTTTTTTTCATACCTAACCCTATAGAGATTTCACCTATTTATAATCATACAAACTTGTCCATTAAGAATCCCTCTCTTCTTAAAATTTTTTTCTTGTAAGTCAAACTTGCCTATTAAGAGTTTTTTTTCTTTTAAAATTTTTTTCTTGCAAGTCAAACTTACCTATTAAGAATCTTCATTCTCTTTGAATTCTTCTTTTGCAAGTCTTCTTGTCTATCCAGTAATATTTAACAAATCTCTAACAAATTTCAAACAAATCTCTTAAAGGATTTAAGTCAATATTTTCAACAATTTTCACCTTGACTTAAATTTTATCAAATCATCTATCTTCATGCTCGACATACTTAAGACATGCTTGGCTTCACCTGTAATAAAAGTCTTACAATCATCTTTTCTTGTGTGTCTTCATGCTTCATACAAACTGATCTTCAATCTTCAAAACTTGAACTCGAACTCTTTTTTTGAATCGAGCTCCTCTAAGTTTACCTTTTTTCATGTCTCAAACCATATTCTTCTCACATCTCAAACTTTCAGTTCTTCTCACATCTTGAAACTTTGACTTTTCTCACGTTTCGAACTTTCAGTTTTGATACTACTTGTTGGGAAAGACCTCAGCTCTGACACCATAGCTCTGATACCATTTGTTGGGCTAAAAGCTTCCAATCCAATAATACCAGCAAAAGTAAAATCAAATAATAAATTAAACGCACAAGAGATAATAATTTAACAAGGTTCGATCCAATCAACCTACGTCTACGGAGGAGAAACAAAATCCACTAGTTGTAGAGAATTACAAATATATATCAAATCATCAACCTCACTCAACAATCAATACTCATAAGACACTCTCAATCTCTTCTAGTCCTATAGAGTATTCTTAATCCAAACAAATACAAACTTAAATCCTTGTGCACTCTTTCAACATAATCAAACACATACCCATATACTTCCATACATCATACCTACGTAGATCCTCTCAGTTTTTTTTAGTCCACTAATAAACAAATATATACATCCATAAGACGTAGAACCCTAATACTCTTATGGTGTTTCTATCTCACAAAATCTTATAATTCTTTTACAATTTTTTTTCATACCTAATCTTACAGAGACTTTACTTATTTATAATCATACAAACTTGCACATTAAGAATTTCTCTCCTCTTAAAATTTTTTTTCTGTAAGTCAAACTTGCTTATTAAGAATACTTTTTTTTTTAGAATTTTTTTCTTGCAAGTCAAACTTACTTATTAAGAATCTTCATTTTCTTAGAATTTTTTTTGTAAGTCTTTTTATCCATCCAAAAATATTTAAAAAATATCTAACAAATCTCAAACAAATCTCTTATGAGATTTGAGTCAATATTTCTAACAATCTTCATCTTGACTCAAATTTTATCAAATCATTTATCTTCATGCTAGACATGCTTAAGACATGCTTGGCTTCACCTGCACTAAAAGTCTCACAATCATCTTTTCTTGTATGTCTTCACGCTTCATACAAATCGATCTTCAATCATCAAAACTTGAACTCGAACTCTTCTCTCGAATCGAGCTCCTCTAAGCTTATCTCTTTCCATGTCTCAAATCATGTTCTTCCTACATCTCGAACCTTCAGCTTTTCTCATGACTTGAACCTTTGACTCTTCTCACGTTTCGAACATTCAACTTTGATACCACTTGTTGGAAAACGTCACAGCTCTGACATCACAGTTCTGATACCATTTGTTAGGTTAAAAGCTTTCAATCCAATCACACCAGCAGAAGTAAAATTAAACAATAAATCAAACACACAAGAGACAACAATTTAATGTAATTCGGTTCAATCAACTTACGTCCACGGATAAGAAATAAGATTTATTAGTTGTAAAAAATTACAAACATATATCAAATCATCAATCTCACTCAACAATCAATACTCATAAAACACTCTCAATCTCTTCTAGTCTTATAGAGTATTTTCAATCCAAACAAATACAAATTCAAACCCTTGTGTACTTTTTTAACATAATCAAACACATACCTATATGCTTTCATACATCATAGTTATGTGGATCTTCTCAGTCTTTTTTAGTTCACTCACAAACAAACATATACACCCATAAGTCATAAAGCCCAATACTTTTATGGTGTGTCTATCCCACAAAATTTTACAATTCTCTTACATTTTTTTTTCATACCTAACCCTATAAAGACTTCACTTATTTATAACCATACAAATTTACCCATTAAGAATCTCTCTCCTCTTAGAATTTTTTTTCTGTAAGTCAAACTTACATATTAAGAATTTTTTTTCTTTTAAAATTTTTTTCTTGTAAGTCAAACTTATCTATTAAGAATCTTCATTCTCTTAGAATTCTTCTTTTGCAAGTTTTCTTATACATCTAACAATATTTAACAAATCTCTAACAAATTTCAAACAAATCTCTTATGAGATTTGAGTCAATATTCCTAACAATTTTCACCTTGACTCAAATTTCATCAAATCATCTGTTTTTATGCTAGACATGCTTAAAACATGCTTGACTCTACCTGCACTAAAAGTCTCACAATCACTTTTTTTTGTGTCTTCACGCTTAATACAAATTGATCTTCAATCCTCAAAACTTGAACTCGAACTCTTCTTTTGAATCGAGCACCTCTAAGCTTACATCTTTTCATGTCTCAAATCATGTTCTTCTTACGTCTCAAACCTTCAACTCTTCTCACGTCTTGAACTTTTGACTCTTCACACGTTTCGAACATTCAGCTCTGATACAACTTGTTGAGAAACACCACAGCTCTGATATCATTTGTTGGACTAAAAGCCTCCAATCTAATCACACCAGCAGAAGTAAAATCAAACAATAAATCAAACACACAAGAGACAACAATTTCACGTGGTTCGGTCCAATCAACTTACGTCCACAGATAAGAAACAAGATCCACTAGTTGTAGAGAATTACAAACATATATAAAATCATCAACCTCATTCAACAATCAATACTCATAAGACACTCTTAATTTATTTTAGTCTTATAGAGTATTCTCAATCCAAACAAACACAAACTCAAACCCTTGTGCACTCTTTCAACATAACTAAACACATACCTATATGCTCCCATACATCATATCTATGTGGATACTCTGAGTCTCTTTTAGTCTACTCACAAACAAACATACACATCCATAAGACATAAAGCCTCAATACTCTTATAGTGTGTCATCTCACAAAACCTTACAATTCTCTTACATTTTTTTCTTATGTCTAATCTTATATAGACTTCACTTATTTATAATCATATAAATTTGTCCATTAAGAATCCCTTTCATCTTAGAATTTTTCTTCTGTAAGTTAAACTTGCTTATTAAGAATTTTTTTCTTTTTATAATTTTTCTCTTGTAAGTCAAACTTACCTATTAAGAATTCTCGTTCTCTTAAATTTTTTTTTGCAAGTCTTCTTGTCCATCCAGCAATATTTAACAAATCTCTAACAAATTTCAAACAAATATCTTATGAGAGTTGAGTCAATATTTCAAACAATCTCCACATTGATTCAAATTTCATCAAATCATCTGTCTTCATGCTAGACGTGCTTAAGACATGCTTGGCTCCACCTGCACTAAAAGTCTCACAATCTTCTCTTGTGTGTCTTCACGCTTCATACAAACTGATCTTCAATCCTCAAAACTTGAACTCGAACTCTTCTCTTGAATCGAGCTCCTCTAAGCTTGTCTCTTCTCATGTCTCAAATCATGTTCTTCTCACATCTTGAACTTTCAGCTCTTCTACGTCTTTAACCTTTGACTATTTCTATGTTTCGAATCTTCAGCTCTGATATCACTTGTTAGGGAACACCATAGCTCTGACACCACAACTCTGATATTTTTTATTGGGCTAAAAGCTTTCAATCCAATCACACCAGCAGAAGTAAAATCAAACAATAAATCAAACACACAAGAGACAACAATTTAACGTGATTCGATCCAATCAACCTACGTATATGAATGAGAAACAAGATTCACTAGTTGTAGAGAATTACAAACATATATCAAATTATCAACCTCACTTAACAATCAATACTCATAAGACACTCTCAATTTTCTCTAGTCATTGGAGTATTTTCAATCCAAACAAATACAAATCCAAACCCTTGTGCACTTTTTCGACATAACTAAATACATACCCATATGCTCTCATACATCATACTTATGTGGATCCTTTCAATCTCTTCTAGTCCACTTATAAACATACACATCCATAAGACGTAGATCTCCAATACTCCTATGGGATGTCTATCCCATAAAATCGTACAATTTTCTTACATATTTTTTTCATACCTAACCCTATAGAGACTTCACTTATTTATAACCATACAAACTTGCCCATTAAGAATCATTCTCCTCTTAGAATTTTTTTCCTGTAAGTCAAACTTGTCTATTAAGAATCTTTTTCCTTTTAGAATTCTTCTCTTTCAAATCAAACTTACCTATTAAAAATTCTCAGTCTCTTAAAATTTTTCTTTGTAGGTCTTCTTGTCTATTCAGCAATATTAACAAATCTCAAACAAATCTTTTATGAGATTTGAGTCAATATTCGTAACGATCTTTTCCTTAACTCAAATTTCATCAAATCATCTGTCTTTATGCTAGACATGCTTAAGACATGTTTGGCTCCACTTGTAATAAAAGTCTTACAATTATCTTCTCTTGTATGTCTTTACGCTTAATACAAACTGATCTTCAATTCTCAAAACTTGAACTCGAACTCTTCTCTTGGATCGAACTCCTCTAAGCTTGTCTCTTCTCATGTCTCAAACCATATTCTTCCCACATCTTGAACCTTCAGCTCTTCCACGTCTTGAACTTTTGACTCTTCCCACGTTTCAAGCCTTCGGTTCTGATACCACTTGTTGGGGAATACCACAGCTCTGATACCATTTGTTGGGCTAAAAGCCTCCAATCCAATCACACCAGCGAAAGCAAAATCAAACAATAAATCAAACACACAAGAGACAACAATTTAACGTGGTTCAGTCCAATCAACCTACGTCCACGGATGAGAAACAAGATCCACTAGTTGTAGAGAATTACAAACATATATCAAATCATCAATCTCGCTCAACAATCAATACTAATAAGACACTCTCAATCTCTTCTAGTCTTATGGAGTATTTTTAATCCAAACAAACACAAACACAAACTCTTGTGCACTCTTTCAATATAATCAAACACATACCTATATGCTCCCATACATCATACTTATGTGGACCTTTTAAGTCTCCTCTGGTCCACTCACAAACAAACATATATACTCATAAGACGTAGAGCCCCAATACTTCTATAGAGTATCTATCTCATAAAATCCTGTAACTATTTTACATCTTTTTTTCATACCTAATCTTATAGAGACTTCACCTATTTATAACCATACAAACTTGCCTATTAAGAATACTTTTTCTTTTAGAATTCTTCACTTGCAAGTCAAAATTACCTATTAAGAATCGTCATTCTCTTAGAATTTTTCTTTTAGAACTCTTTTTGTCCATCCAGCAATATTTAATAAATCTCTAACAAATCTTAAATAAATCTCTTATGAGATTTGAGTCAATATTTCCAACAATATCCACCTTGACTCTAATTCCATCAAATCATCTGTCTTCATGTTAGACATGCTTAAGACATGCTTGACTCCACTTGTAATAAAAGTCTCACAATCATCTTCTCTTATGTGTCTTCACGCTTCATACAAACTGATCTTCAATCCTCAAAACTTGAACTCGAACTTTTCTCTTGAATCGAGCTCCTCTAAGCTTTCCTTTTCCCATGTCTCAAACCATGTTCTTCTCACATCTCAAACCTTCAGCTCTTCCCACGTCTTGAACCTTTGACTCTTCCCACGTTTCAAACTTTCAGTTCTGATACCACTTGTTGGGGAACACCACAGCTCTGACACCACAGCTCTGATACCATTTGTTGGGCTAAAAGCTTCAAATCCAATCACATCAGCGGAAGTAAAATCAAACAATAAATCAAACACACAAGAGATAACAATTTAACGTGGTTCAGTCAAATCAACCTACGTCCACGGATGAGAAACAAGATCTATTAGTTGTAAAGAATTACAAACATATATCAAATCATCGACCTCACTCAATAATCAATACTCATAAGACACTTTCAATCTCTTCTAGTCATATAGAGTATTCTCAATCTAAACAAACACAAACCAAATCCTTGTGCACTCTTTCAACATAATCACACACATACTCATATGCTCTCATACATCATACCTATGTGGACCCTCTCAATCTCCTCTAGTCTACTCACAAACAAACATACACACCCATAAGACATAGAGCCCTAATACTCTTATGGGGTTTCTATCCCACAAAACCATACAACTCTCTTACATCTTTTTCTCATATCTACCCCTATAGAGACTTCACTTATTTATAAACATACAAGCTTGTCCATTAAGAATCTCTTTCCTCTTAGAATTTTTCTCTTGTAAGTCAAACTTGCCTATTAAGAATTCTTTTTCTCTTAGAATTCTTCTCTTGCAACTCTTTTTGTCCATCCAATAATATCTAACAAATCTCTAACAAATTCCAAACAAATCTCTTATGAGATTTGAGTTAATATTCTCAACAATACCGTCAATAGCCACTTTTAGGTGTGTATGTATCCTACATAAATACTTCAGGAAAAATAAAGAGCTGGATTTATATAGAGCACCAATATTGTCTGACGAGGCTTGTATGCAATAATTGGGAAGGTAAAGAGGAATTGACAAGGTGAAATTTATCACATCAAGATACTATTAGACCAGTTAAAGCTATTGAACCAACATTGTCGGTATCATGCATTTTGGTTTGACACTGTGTATATAGATAAGACCAGAATATACGAGATTGGTGTTGATGCAGGTGTGAATTAAGGGCGTACTTAAAACCACTCTGCTCAATAATTCTTAAATTCATTTCTTTACTTTTAACATGATTCTGATTCCCCATCTTCCAAATCCCTTTGCAGATAGTTTTTGTTGAGAAGAAAAAGCTCAAGTCCATTTTGCTTGGGGACATTGATGATAACCAACTTCCAGATATATATGGAGGCAAACTGCCATTGGTTGCTATCCAGGACTGCTAACTTGACCAATGTTTCTTATTTCTGCACTGCAGCTTATTATAGGCATGGATGTGGAGGAATAGACAACAAGGAGATTTCAAATCTATATTCTATATCATCACCCTATCCAGATAGGGGCGCATAATCTTTTATAAAACATTATTAAGATTATAGATATGTAAACTCTTGAATCTTTATGCAGTTTGAAATAAATATAAATCTCTCTCTCTCTCTCTCTCTCTCTCTCTCTATATATATATATATATATATATATATATGCGTGCATGTATAAAATCTGTGGTGGTAGTAGCGGCTACTGGATTTTATGATTTACTCGCCTAAACATTGCTCGAGAGGATGGATCCCATTTCACCTTGGTATGGCTGAATACAAATAGCACGTGAATGCCCGCATTCATCAAACTTCCAGCTGGATTCAAGCTGGTGGTCACCTAATCATAAATGAGGTTCTCATTCATGACCACAATTTCTCATTACCTAAGATATGTTCGAAGAACACCTCACATGAGGTCAGAGTTCTTCCTCGAATATTTAACTTACTAATTTAAAACTTCTATGAAAGACTGTTTCTGTAATTTAGATTTATATACCATACATGACAATTACAGAATCATTGATCCATAAATACTCTAACAGCAAAGGGGCGTTAAATTTTTTTTTTAAATGGGATTATTCGGAAAACTAAATGCATAAGCGCCATTAAAAAATGCATAGGCGCCATTAAAACTGAAAATGATCAACAAATTCTGTTTTGTTATTCAGAACCTCGGCCCATCTCAAAACAGGCAGCAGATACAGGATCCGGAAAACATAATAAATTCACTGTCCTCATGTGTATTGAAAAATTATATGACATTTTGCAGTAAGACTACTGCTCCACAGCAATAATTTCTTTATCACCTAATTGGCAACTTGTTCTCGTCCAAGAAGCTGTATGTGGGTACCTCTAGATTGTATGGTGCAGGCCCTTTCGGATCCTATCAGACACGTCATAACGTGGACCATGACACGAGCAGAACCAACCACCAAAGTCACCAGCATTTGGAGGGGAATGCACCCCAAATGTGTGCAGAAACCAATAACAATAAGCCATTCTGGATTCTTAACTCTGACTGCATCCTCCTGGGATCATGATTGGATGCAATGTCAACGCTGTTAGCCACCTCGATGTCCTCCTCCGTTCTGCGTCTGATAAAATCTCCACTTGACAATAACAGTAGTCCTTGGCTCAATGCTAGAGAGGTCAACCTCAAGGGAGGCGAAAGCAAGGACATCTTTGCTGGCTGACATGCTCAGAACAAACTTGAGGACCGGAAGACGTATTAAGGAGGCATAAACAAACCTGCCACCAGTCAAGACTAAAATAAGCAAATGTATGCTTGCTGGGATCGCCAGGTGGAAAACCCTCATGATTATGCTCACAATGATTGATTTTTGAAGTGGGATTCTTCACAGCTGCCACACTAGAAGGAAGACCTGAGATCATTCCCATATGATGATGCTCAGGAGTAAGGGCTTCTGAAGATAAACCTAGAAGAAGATAAAACAACTGTTCAGGCCTTTGACTAAAAGTTGGCCACTTTTACATATATCAACGTAATAACACTCACTGCATAAAGGTGCTGCAAAGGTTTTTCTCTTAAGAACTTTGCTGACTAAATGGCATGTGATGTAATTGAATTAATGAATGTTCTGAATATATTAACAATAAAGTATAACAGTAACTTGATATGTAAAAATTATGTCCCATCATGAAATGAACATGTAATGTTAAACATTTCCCTTCTAAAGCATGAATCCTCGATCCTAAATTTCTAAAGACTCCGTCGGCGTGCATGTGAGCGGGTGCTTCTCACTTGTACAAAGCAAAGCAGCATAAATTTCTCTACTTTCCACTTTTATTAATACTAGTATTGAATATTAAGTATAAACAAAATGTAGAAATCATAAAACTCGATTTTTAACTTAACGAAGCATAAATGAAAGGGTACATCTTCACACAAGCATAACTGATTCAAAATAAATATCTATTTGTACAACATTAAAACAGCGTCACGCTTCTAATCATCCAAAAGTTCCAAAATGAAAGTGGTACTTAATTCGCTTTAAAATCATTTGCTAGATATAATGAGGATTTTAATAATAAATAAATTTGGAAAGATATAGAATCAAATAACCTGGTTTTAGGTCTTTCAATATTTAAAACCATGCAATTCTCACGGAGTATTATTTCTCTACTCTGAATTTTAACACCTCCTGGTCTTAGGAGACTGTGATTGAATATGTTTCTTAAACTCGTTATTCAGCTTCAAAACGACAATGTAAAATTCAACACTGTCTAGTGGTGGCGGCCCCGAAGGCGCGTGTATCACATAATTAGGCGAGTTTTAATGTTATCACCACCAGAACTAGAATGTGGCCCGCGTTTTTTTTTTTTTAATTGAACAAATATTATAAAATCATTGTAAATTAAATATATTATATTAAATAATAATTATTTATTTAAATAATTTTTTAATGCTTTAATATATATATTAATTCAAAATTAAAATCATTAATACACCAAACTAATGTAAAAAAATGTCTTTAAAATTATTCGAGAAAAAATTAAATACAATTAAAACTTAAGGATACTTTTAAGTGGCATTTGATTCGAGGGAATCCATAAATTTTTTCTCGGAATCTTGATGGTAAGTATTTGATTCGCACGTTTGATTTAGGATAATCCGATTATAAATGAAGATGTTATATTCCCAACAGTACCCAAAAGAAATCTACTTCTCCCTGTGGTATTTTAAGATTTCGGAGAAAAACTTATCTTATTTTTAAATTTGACCTGAATAAAAAATAATAAAATAGCCGTTACCTTTTTAAAAAACATATCTGAAAGTAAATGAAACTCATTTGTAGGTTTTTGTATAGAAAAAAATATTTTTTTATATTGTAATTATGGCGTTTCGCATGAAAAATCTTTTTATATTTTTATAAATAGATTATTTAAGGCGTTTTTATATAAAAATACCTTAAATAATCTATTTATATTTATATAAAAAGATTATTTAAGGTATTTCTGTACAGAAAACGGCTTAAATAATCCTTTTCTACTTTAAAGTTTAGGGTTAATATTTTTATAAAATGATTATTTAAGGTGTTTCAATAAAAAAAAAAGCCTTAAATAATCTTTTTTATAGTTTAGAGTTTAGGGTTACTAATTTTATAAAAAGATTATTTAAGGTATTTTTATAAAAAAAATCTTAAAAAATCCTTTTATAAAAATATAAAAAGATTATTTAAGGTGTTTATATACAGAAAACTTATTATATAATTATCGTAACGGTTTTGTGTCCGCTCGACAAATTTGGAAATGAAATAAAAATAATAGAGTCGCTATCAATCTTTTTTTAGCTAGGTGTGATTGGCCACCTATTAAAATATATCCTTTTAATAAAAATTTTAAAATTAATTAAAATCTATTAAAAAAATATTTTTAGGGTCTGTGAAACAGTATGAGTGTAAGAGTCGGTTACATGTGGGGAATGATTAATACCTTCATAGCACTTGTTTAAAATGGTACTAATTAATTACGTGTTATTCATTGATTTTGATAAAAATAATATTTTTTTCGGTGTTTAAAAAAATAATTTTCTTGATTTTTTTTTGTTTATTGAAATTTTGGGTTTTTTTTTTATATCTTTTATTATTCAAAATTTATTTGAGAAAAATAACTTAGAATCTTTTTATTGAAATAATTCTTAAAATGTTACAATACATTGATAACATTAAAAAAGCTATTTCTCACATAAAGATTTCTTAAGCATCGCTTCTCAGAATACCTTAGAATCTCATATTCGGAGGCTCGAATTCACTTTTCATAAAAAATATGCCATGCATACAATGCAAATGATAATACATTGATTCACACATTTTATTTATTTTTTAAAAATTTTATTGATATTTTCATATTGATTTATTATTATAATTGTTTTAATGAAGAAAAGAGAAAATTTTATCATATTGAAAATTTTTATAAATATTTTAATACACTGATAATATTTTTAAAAAATCTTCTTACCTAGAGATTTTGTAAAGCATCACTATTTGAAATACTTTCATAATCTCATCCTCGAATAAAATTTTTTTTTCTCATTTTTTTTGTCACTTTATTTTTAATCAATTTTATAACAAAGAAAAGAAAATTTTTTATTGTATTGAAAATTTTTTATAAATATTCCAATACGCTGGTAGTATTTAAAAAAAATCTTCTCACCCAGAGATTTTGTTGGTATCACTACTCGGAGTACCTTTGAATCTCATCGTCGAATAAAATATTTTTTTCTTATATTTTTTATGATTTTTTGTATTATTATTACTATTTTTAAATTTTTTAGTTTTTTTATCATTATTCTTTAATTATTTATTTTTTTTTATTTTTATTATATTATTGAAAAAAAAATAACAAAATTTATTTTAACAAATTTAAACATTTTTACATATATAAATACTAATAATAAAATTTAAAATAATAAAAATAATATTAAAAAATAATTCAAAAAATCCAAAAAAACTACTTGAACCGGATAGGTTCGATTGATTTGAATCAATTTAAGGAGGTTTCTAGCGGTTTGCGACGATTCACAAGATTCTGGCTGGCTCAAACCGGTTCATTGACGATTCATCTGGACCAGTCTAGGACAAGGCGTTGAGGCGGGTGACCAGGTCGAGTGCGCAGACTTTGGGTTAGGTCAAAGGAAATGCGCGGATCCTTTTCAATTCAAAACGATGTCGTTTTGACGCTTATTGAAATGGCATCATTTTGAGGCTTGGTCTTTTATGTAAAAATAACATTTTTTTTAGCTCATTCTCCCACATTTTTCAAAAAAAAAAAAAAAAACTCTCCCATTTCCTTTTTCATACAAAATCCAATAGCGCAATCAATTGTCATTGTCGTCGTTGCCACTAGTCACCGACCACCATCACCGAAGATCGAAAAACTTCTAAAATTCACCCAATATTTTTCTTAACCTTCAAAGTTCATATCCGAGCCTGGTTTTGTGAAAAAAGGCTCCAAATGAAATAGATCTGGCCTGGAAGGTTTGGCCAAATTTTTTTTGTTCGTGTTTTTTTTTTTATGTTGGCGCTGGGTTCCTCTACTTTGGGGACTGTGGTTTTTTTTTTTTGTTTGCTTAGTTTTTTATGTCA